GCACCTGAATGGTCTCTCATCGGTATGAATGCGTTGATGGAGCATCAGTTCCCTGGAGCCTTTAAAGCACTTCTCACAGTCTGGACATTTAAAAGGTCTCTCCTCAGTGTGAACACGTAGGTGACATGTCAATTCCCTGGAACTTTTAAAACATTTCCCACAGTCTGGACATTTAAAAGGTCTTTCCCCAGTGTGGACTCGCTGGTGTCTCAGCAGATCAGATGACTGAATGAATCTCTTTCCACACTCGGAACAGTTGAATGGCCTCTCCCCACTGTGAACCTGCTGGTGCCTCAGGAAGCTGGATGAATCAGCGAATCCCTTCCCACACTCAGAGCAAGTGAATGGCCGCTCCCCAGTGTGAACTTGCCGGTGTGTCAGCAAGTTGGCTGACTGCGTGAATCCCCTCCCACACACGGAGCAGGTGAATGGCCTCTCACCAGTGTGTCTGCGGCGATGAGTTTCCAGCTTCGATGGGGAAATGAAGCCTTTCCCACAGTCACCACATTTCCATGGTTTCTCCCCAGTGTGACTGCATTTATGTTTCGACAAACCAGATGATTGGCTGAAGCCTCGTGCACACACAGAACATGTAAATGGTTTCTCTCCACTGTGAACAATGTTTTGTCCTTCCATGTTCAAAGACCAGTGAGATTCAGCTCCCGACGAATATCGTGCATCTGTCAGGTCTTGATGCTACGTGTGGTGGTTTGAGCTTCCCACCTGCAAATCCTGCCTTTCCAAAACCTGTAAAATTAGTTTAAAAATAAGAGAAAGCAGCTGATGGAAATCTAAAAAAGAACACAAAGAACATAAAGAACATAAAAACTAGGAACTGGAGTAGGCAAATTCAGTCCCTCAAGCCTGCTCTACCATTTGATATGATCATGGCTGGTCTCATCTTGGCCTCAACTCCACTCTCCTGCTCACTCTCTCCATAACCCTTAAATCCATTATTAATTGAGCAGGTTGTGAAACTGAGCTGAGTGAATCTGATAATTTGTGGGAAGCACAGTGAAACTGTGAGCATGAAAGCTGCACAGGGATTGGTTTAGAAACCCAATACCCCTAGGGGAGGTGATGGCCTCATGCTATTATTGCTGGACTGTTAACCCAGAGACCCAAACAATGTTCTGGGGACCTGGATTCAAATCCCACCATGACAGATGGTGGAATTTGAATTCAATAAATATCTGGAATTAGCAATGTAATAATGACCACACATCCATTGTCGATTGTTGGGAAAAACCCATCTGGTTCACTAATATCCTTTAGGGAAGGAAACTGCCATCCTTACCTGGTCTGGCCTCCATGTGACTCCAGACCCATAGCAATGTGGTTAACTCTTAACTGCCCTCTGGGCAATTAGGGATGGGCAATAAATGCTGCCTAGCCAGCGCTGCCCTCATTCCATGAATGAATTTTAAAAAACCCAACTGGTTCACCAATGCTTTTCACAGAAAAAATCCGCCACCCATTTGGACCGACGCAAGACTCTGGCCTTGACGTGATGAGTGAGAGAGGTTGAACAAAGGGGAAACAAAATGGTTTTTGTACATCTATGAATCAACCAGAGTGTTGACAGAATTCCCCAAATCCACAATGCCCAACTCCTAGAAGGACAACAACAGCTTGTGCATGGAAAAGCCATTACCTCCGAGATTTCCATCAGTGAGTTTATACTGGGTAAAGACTGATCGCCTGCTCCACGTGTAATAGTGGAGAGTGGAAAGACATGCGAGAGTTTGGCTGGAAGGGCACAGCTTTGAGAGTTAGGCTGAGTGGGAGGGATGGGCTGTGAGAATTAGGAGTGAGGGAGGGAAGAGTTGTAAAAGTTTAGGAGGGTGGGAAGAGCTCGGAGTTTGATAAAGAAGGAAAAGCTGTGACAGTTTACATGTTGTGAGAGTTTGGCTTAATCTGTGACAGTTTTGCTGGAAAGAGCTGAGAGAGTTAGAATGGGGGGAAACCTGAGAGCGTTTGGGCAGTGGGGGAGGGTGTTGGGTCTAGGGTCTAGGGAGGGTTGTGAGATCATGGCTGATCATCCATCTCAGTATCCTCTTGCCACTTTCTCCTCACATCCTTTGGTCGCTTTGATCTAAGCACTGCATCTAACTCATTCCTGAAAACAATCAATGTTTCGTCCTCAAATGTGGCATATAATTCCACAGACCTCACCTCACCACTCCCTGGGGTGAAGAAATTTGGGATGGGGAAGAGCTTTGAGATTTAGGTTAGGGAGGCAGCATTGAGAGAGTTGGTGGGGGTAGGAGCTGCAAGTCTCTGGATGGGGTGGAGGGCTACTAGTCTAAGGGTGTGGAGGGGGCTGAAAGACCTTGAGACCGATGGTACAGCTGTGGGTGTTAGTTTGGAAGAGTTTTGAAAGTGTTGCAGGAGAAGAGACCTGTGAGGGTAGGAGAAGGAGGGGCGGTGGAGTTTTGACACTGTAAAGGTTTGTAGTTTAAAAAAAAACACCTCCCTTTTTACTGGGTTTTCAGGATCACAATTGGGTCTTAGAAATTAGGCAGTTGGCCACACTCATGATTACAAAAACTAGGGATCTGAAATGATCTCACAGCTGATTGCCCTCAGTTTGAGACCAAATTGCTCTACAGTGAGCTGGTATAGACTTGATGGGCTGAGTAGCTTCTTGCTTTGCTTAGTTGCTTATAATTAGTCTCTTGAAGTAGAAACATAGAAAATAGGAGCAGAGTAGGCCATTTGGCCACTCAAGCCTGCTCAAACATTCAATACAATCATGGCTGATCATCCGTCTCAGTATCCTCTTCCCACTTTCTCCTCACATCCTTTGGTCGCTTTGATCTAAGAACTGCATCTAACTCATTCCTGAAAACAATCAATGTTTCGTCCTCAAATGTGGCATATAATTCCACAGACCTCACCTCACCACTCCCTGGGGTGAAGAAATTTCTCCCCATCTCAGTCCTAAATGGCCTACCCATATCCTTAAAATCCAGGTATCATTCAGATAAATCTGCACTACACATCCTCAAAGACCTGTGAGTGGGGAAGAGAAGGAAAGCTGTGAGAGTGGAAAGTGAGTGGGCTGGGGGTTAGAGGTGTGAGTCAGTCAATCCTTCAGTCAATCTATGCAGCCTATCCATTCCAAGGTGGGATGGCCTAAGCTGAACAAAGTGCTTCTGGTGCTTTTCCCCACACACCAATATCGGATTTTCCCACTAACAGAATGGACAAACCTTTTCCTTTCACGATCGAAGCCCAATGATATTCAGGTCCTGATGATTTGAGTGACTCTTAGATTTTGATGTTGTTAGGAACCCAGCTGATAGTAATACTGGACAAGTCAGATCCCAGATCAAAACCTGGCTTAATAGAGCATAAATTTTATGTTTTTAGTTGATTACCATGGTGGTTGGTCACTGTTCACACACATTCACACAAGGCTGCCAATGCTCTTTTAAAACAAGAATATTACATAAAAGACGGGAAAAAAAGAGCAAATTTTATATATCGAAGACAATTTTACAAAATCTTAGCATTCAATATTTTTTGCCCCAACAACATTCTTTTAAGATATCAATCCCAGAGAAATATCACTCCAGGTTTTCAGACATTTTCCCAGTCTGATAGTTTAAATCCGTTTTCAGTTCTGACAGTTTCAAAACGTTTGTACGAACTTCTACAACTTGGAGACTTCACAAACTAAAACCCTGTCGCTATGATCAAAACTGCTCTACTGGATTAAAAGCCTGATTTTTCTGAACTAAACTCAAACTAAACTACCAGTGTTTCCTGATCATGTTTGTTTCTGTATGTTATGAAATCAGCGGCATACTCGTATCATCCACTTACCTGCTAAGTCATAAGCTTTCTTGGAAATTATTTAGGTCACTTTTTCAAATTAATTTGAGTTCTATATCAAGAGTCACCTTCATAGAACTGAAGTGAAAACCAACCTGCTTTTTCATATTTTTAAAATGCACATTTCGAAACTATAGTAATATTTACTGTATCTTTTCATCACAAAGTGATGGTTAGTTTCAGTTTCCCATCTGCAGTTACTTGCATTTGATTTACAAGATCCCCAGAATCTAGTTGCACAATGATACAGGCTGAATGGTCTGGCATTGAAAAGGTCTCTCCGCTATCTCCAGTTGTTTCAGGATGACACACGCTTATACCTTGCTCTGCACTGTCCACTATAAAGATCATATCCATGCATGCACCCTGCCATTTATCAGCCAGGCCATACTGTGAAGTGGGTGGCAAGAGCCAGGATGGAGGTTTAAAAGTGAAGTGGAGCTGAATCTGAAACACTGAACATTCTCCAGGCTCACTGTCTGCCTCTTTCAGCTTCCCACCTGACCCACATCAACACAATTGTTCGATTTTCTACGTTGGAGAAGGACTTACCCTGGCACTTCTGAGTTGCCATTTGTTATCCAGGTTTGGCAGCAATTGGATAGACTGCTTCAGTGTCTGAAGAGTCATGAACAGTATTGAGCATTGTGCAATCATCAGAAAACATCCTCACTTCTAACCTGAAGATGGATGAGAATGCTTCAGCACTGATGTGCTGGACATTCCACACCACGCTCCCCACATCCCATGCCTCGCCCCAACCCCCAACTGCCATTCAGAATTGAGATCATTTGGGTGCCTCCTCCTCCTCTGCCTGTTAGTTTTTTAATTATTCACTCCCATTCACAATTGGATTCAGCAGGCCAACAGAGCTTAGTCATGATGCGTTGGTTCAGGATCACTCAACCCTGTTTATTGCACATTACAGGAGAAATGCGATAGTACTGAAGTGGATGCAGAGAAATACCAGGATACTGCCTGACTGGAGAATTTCAGTCATGACAAGAGATTGGACAGATTGTGATTGGTTTCATCACATAGAAGAGATTGAGAGGGGCATACATTGGGTAGACAGGAAGGAACCTTTCCCCTTGATGGAGACATCAATGACCATGGCAGAAGAGGCAGAAAGTTTAGGCGAGATTTGAGGGAAAACATTTTCACCCAGCGATTGTGGGAATTTGGAATTCACTGCCTGTCAATGCGGTAGAAGCTGAAATTTTCATAATTTTAAGAAGTACTTAGATGAACACTTGTGATGCAAAGGCATACAAGGCTATGGGCCAAGTGCTGGAAAATGGAATTAGAATAGTTAGGTGGTTGTTTTTACCAGCATGTACCCAAAGGGCTGAAGGGCCTTTTTATATGCCGTAAACCCTTATGAGTCTATGCTTTTACAGTTTGGTATGCAAGTAGTCCTGTGTTGTTACTTCACCAGATTGAACCCTCAGAAGTGACATCCAACTGAGCTGGTCCTATCCTTGTTTTTTAAAGGTGTAAAGACTGGGATATCCTGTCTGCAAACATTTCCCACACTGAGAATCCTATGGTGCAGAATTGGGACATCCTGTCTAAAAATAAATTCCACCCTGTTCACACATAATCACAAAATGTCTCCAAACACAACTCACACTGTTCACACTGAGAATCCCAGGGTGGAGAAAGGGACATCCTGTCTCCAAACACATCCAACCCACTTTTCATAAGAGCCAGACAAACGGTTATTTGTAAGGCAAAGGTACATCAGCTGCAAGGGCAAATGAACAGAAGAATGGAAATAGCCAGAGTGATGCACCAGGAAAGCTGCACTATAGGGATTCTAAAGATCACAATATAACAGACTCCAGTTAAAACTCTGACTCTGTCCATGATGTGACTGTTGTCAAAGAGTCTGTACAGCATTATCATAGATCATAGAATCCCTACAGTGTGGAAACAGGCCCTTCAGCCCAACAAGTCCACACTGACCCTTGGAGAATCCCACCCAGACCCATCCCACTATAAACCACCTAATCTACACATCCCTGAACACTTTGGGCAATTTAGCATGGCCAATTCACCTAACCTGCACATCTTTGGACTGTGGGAGGAAACCGGAGCACCCGGAAGAAACCCACGCAGACACGGGGAGAATGTGCAAACTCCACACAGACAGTCGCCTGAGGGTGGAATTGAACCGGGGTCCCTGGCGCTGTGAGGCAGCAGTGCTAACCACTGAGCTACCGAGCTGCCCAAAGACTTTCCCCATCTCTTACAGCAAGTAAAAACTCACTTCTCCTACACAATTGGGTTTTCCATTGCAAGGATGTCTCAAATTTAACTTGGCTCACAGCTCAAGTATTAGAAATTAATTAACTTTGATTATGTAAATTAGGTCATTTCATTTCTCGAGTTCTTGATTTGATACATCACTGCTATTGCTGACTGATGGCAGACCAGGGTGTCCATCAGCACCTGAATATGTGCGTCATCAGTGTCCAAGCTATTTCAGCCCTGTGAAAAAACAACTCCCAACAAGTTCAACCCATCACGCCCTTGGCAATCATTGCAAACTGATGATACTAACCCACTACCTATAGGAAATGTAGGGGCTGGTATATCCTGCGTTATAGAGATAGGCTTACCTGATGAATTTATTATACAGACCTGCTGACCCAGAGTGAAAATAGGCTACAGGTATATCCTCCTAATGATAGACAGGTTTACCTGGAGGATTGAAGCTTTCCCATTCTGAAAAAAATGATGCCGTCATGACAGATAAAATCTGTTGGAAATGGATCTTCACCAGATGGGGCTTTCTGAAAAAGATAGAGGTTCATATTCCACAGGAGAAGTAATTCAGTCAAGCCTTATGCTAAACATCATTTCCATAATCCCAACCACCTCGAGTCCAGGGATGATCGAGAGCTTCAATCACAATCAGAACAACATTAAAAAAAATTGTCATGGAAGTAGCTGATGATCTGGTCAGGGCCAATTTGATTCTCTCCTGTTCAGTCCCCGGTCATAGTCTTCCTCAGCTCATGACACATCGGCCAATACAGAATGTGTCATACACCTTCCACCCTGTTCTTGTGAATGCTCAAGTCAAACAGCTATTTATAAAGCGAAGGTATGTCAGAGGCAAGGGCAACTTTTTACTTGTCAGATTCATGATCAGAATATCCAAAAAGCCTCAGCATCCTCACTACTACCAGCAACAGAGAAGATGGTGCTGCAAATTTCCACATGCTTTCGGGAGGACCACGCCAACCATTATATTATCTGTTCAATGCTGTTTTTTGGGGGAGGGCAGTGACGATGGTGAAGTTAAAAAACATTTTCAATTGAATTGGGAGGAAACAAATCTCATATCAATTACTGAGAAATGAGGAAAAGAAGCCCATTATCTGTAGCTATACAAAACCCTGATTACTGCCTACTTGGAGTACTGTGAGCAGATCTGTGTACCATACTTCAGGCAGGATTTATTGGCCTTGAATGGAGTACAACATAGGTTTAGAAGAATTATACCTGGTCTTCAAGTGTTAAATTGTGAGGAGAGATTACACAGATTAGGCATGTTTTCTATAAAATTTAGAAGGTTAAGGGGTGATCCAATCAAAGTCTTCAAGACATAAACTGGAAAAGACAGGGCAGATAAACCATTTTCGCAGATTGGAGATTACAGAACTAGAACTAGTCTGAGAATTAGGGTTACACTATTCAGGAGAGATACTAGGAAGCACTTCTACACACAAGGGGTGCAGAGATTTTGAACTCTCTTACACAAAATGCAGTTGATGCTAGATCAGTTGTTAGTTTTAAATCAGAGATCAACAATTTATTGTTAAGCAAAAGTATTAAGGGATATGGGCCAAGGCAGGTATTTGGAGTTAAGCCACAGATCAGCCGTGATCTTATTAAATGGTAGAAGAGGCTCAAGGAGCTGAATCGCCAACTACTGTTCCTATGTTCCCATGGAGATCAGTGTAAACTGTACAATATGGAAAGGTCAGATGACATTCCAAAATGTCTAAATAATCAAGGAGCGAAAGAGCAAACTAAAATAACCACCACTCAAGAAAGAGTGCTAGGTAAAATAACAGGACTACAGATCAATAAGTCCCCTGAGCTTGATGGGATACATCCTAGGATTTCAAAGGAAGTAGCTATAGAGATAGTAGATGCAGTTTTCAAGTATCCTTAGATTCTAGAAAAGTCCCAGAGGACTAGAAAACTGCTAATGTAACATGTTTATTTGAAAATGGAAGGAGAGAGAAAACAGGTGTCTGTTGGCCAGTTAGCTTAATGTCTGTTATTGGAAAATGTTAGAGTCTATTATAAAGGATCTAACAGCAAAGCATTCAGAATTACATAATATGATCAAGCACAGTCAGCATGGCTTCACAAAGGAGAAATCATTCCTGAAAAGTTAGGATACCTTGAGGTGGAAACAAGCAAGTTAGGAAAAGGTAAGGCAGTGGATATAATACATTTGGATTTCCAGAAGGCGTTTGATAAGGTGTCACATGTTAGGCTACTTATAACGATAAGAGCCCATCGTGCTGGAAGTAGCATATTAGCACTAATTAACTAATAGAAGACACAGGGTTGAGAAAAGGGGGTCATTTTCAGGACGGCAACGTGTAACTAGATGAGTGCCACAGAGCTGGGGCCACAATTATTTACAATTATTTACATGAGGAAAGTGAAGTCTACAGATGACACAAAAGTAGGTGGGAAGGTAAGTGGTGAGGATCACTCGAAGAGTCTGCAGTAGAATACAGACAGGTTAAGTGAGTGGTCAAAAACTTGGCAAATGGAATATAAAGTGGGAAAATTCGAGGTTATGCACTTTGGCAGGAAGAATAGAAGAACTGAATATTATTTAAAATTGAGAAATACTGCAGAAAGTTACAGAACAGAGGTATTTGGAATCCCTGTCCATGAATCACAAAAAGCCAGTATCCAAAATCACTGGGTCCTAGGGAAGGCAACAAGTATGGTGGATAGAAGTAGGGAGATTTTGCTAAAAATATACCAGCCACCAGTCTGAAAACAGCTTGAATACTGTGAACAGTTTGGAGTCCTCAAGAAAGATCGACTGGCATTGGATGCAGTCCAGGGTAGTGCCACAATGCTGATACTGGGCAAGGAGGAGAGGCTGAGTAGATTGGACCTGTCCTCATTGGAATTTAGAAGAATGTGACACAACCTTGTTGAAACAGACAAGATTCTTTAGGGACCTGACAGGTTAGAGGTGGGGAGTTCACTTCCCTTTGTGGGACCAGCAGACATAATCTCAGAATAAAGTGTTGCACATTTAAGTCACAGAGGAAGAAATTCCTCCCTCAGAGGGTAGTGAATTTGTGAAATTCTTTGCCATCGAGGGCTCTTGAGGTTGGGTCATTAAGTATCTTCAAGGCTCATACAGACAGATCTTTAATCAGTAAAGGAAACAAGAGTTGTGGGGGAAATGCAAGAAAGTTGAGGTTTATCAGATTAGTCTTAATTATATGAATGACACAGTAGACATGATAGGCTGAATGTTCTGCGTTTCATGGTCATATGAATGGGGAATAAACACTGTGTTCATCTTTATCAAAAAGGACAATATGTGGATGGTCATTGTGCCTCAGGGCTGTGTCAAGGCTGAAGTTCCATTCCTTCCTTCCCTACAGATAGTCATTTTTGAGCTTCGGCCAGGTACTGTCAAACACTTAGATGGGAAAGATAAAGATCTACAGTGAAGAGAAACCAGAGTTAACGTTTCCGCTCTGGTGACCCTTTCGCAGAAATTCTGAGAAAGACTCACTGGACCTGAAAGTTAATTCTGATTTCTCTTCACAGATGTTACTAGACCTGCTGAGCTTTTCCAGCAACTTCTGTTTTTGTTTCTGATTTACAGCATCCGCAGTTCTTTCAGAATTTAAAAAGTTCTACAGTGATGAGTTTAAAACATAGCGGATTTATTTGACTTATTTCTCATTCATCCAGAATATCAAACTCCGGCCCACTTTACAAAGGTATTCCTATTAGAGACAAACTCTCGACATGTCGTGTCAAGTTATTTTATTACAATGACAACTTCACTAGTGACATTACTGCTCTTTCAGTAGGTTGATTGACTTAGTGAACCTTTCCCACACTTTGAGCAAGTAAACAACATTTACCCACTGCTGTCGCAGCAGATGGGATGCTAGGACAAATTTTCTCACACACGGCAGAGGCGAACAGCTTCTTTCCAGAGTGAGAATGGTGGTGTGCAAGCACTTTGCATCTTCTTTAAAATATCTACTCATTCAAATATTTTAAAAAGTCTCTTATTCTGTGCACCTCAGAAGCTGCACTATCGAAGGTGCTCATTTGCCCAAGTGCTGAGCATTGTAAAAGCAGCAGGGCATTTTGGGCAGCTCCTTTGTTGCACTTGCTTTAATCAATAATTTTGATCCTAATTTTATTTATTCCACTCCCCCCAGCTTACAGAAACTCCATTTTACAGCAAAAATTCCCAGCAGGCCCCATCCGGTGAATGTCTCGTATCAATATCACAGGCTATCAGTACGCAGGTGCCATGGTGGTTAGTATTTGGTCCATGAACAATGTGTGATGACGATGAGGGAAGATGCTCCTTCACAGAATCACGTAGTATTATAGTGTAGGAGGTGGCCATTTGGCCCAATAAACCTGCACCAACTTGTTAAGTAAGCATGATTATCTCGTACCAATCTCCTAATTTTGCCCCATGCACATTACTGTTATCCAAATAATGATTCAATGCTCTCTTGAATGTCTCAACTGAATCTACCTCCAACAGTTCCACACAGTGCATTCCATACCTTAACTACTTGCTGAGTGAAAAAGTTTTGACTCACTTCATCCCTGCTTCTTTTGCAGGTCACTTTAAATCTATGCCATAAGAGTTATTTTTCTTTTTAAGAGTGGGTAAACATCGTCGCTATTCAGCCTGCTCATGATTTTGAAAACCTCTATCAAATCTCCTCCGAGCCTTTGCTCTCCAAGCCTGTTCTGCCTTCTCTCCAATGCTTCTCTGCTATAATGTGGGGCCAGAACTGTGCACAATACTTCAGCCGAGATCCAACAAGTGTTTGAGAGAAGCTCAACATCAACTCCTCGCATGTGCACTGCCGTTCTACTAATGAAGCCTAGAAAAAGTTAAACTTTATTTGCTGCCCTCTCTACCTGTCTTTCAATGCTCTATTCACATATTTATGCAGGTCCCTCTGAATCTGCACCTCCATAAGAATCGTATCTCCTATCTTATACTGTCTTTCAATGTACTTTCTAAAAAAAATGTACACCTCACATTTCTCCGCATTGAAACTCATCTGCCTGCTCCCCAAATTTGTTAGTGGCCTTCTGGAGTTCTACACAATTGTCAGTTTATAATTTTTCCAAGTTTCATGTCATATGCAAACTTTAAAATTGTCCCCTGCACCCAAGATCTAAATCATTAATATATATATAATCAGGAAAAGCAAAGGTCCCAATATCAACGCCTGGATATCTCCACCACAAACCCTCCTCCAGCCTAAAAAAAAGTCAGTTGACCATTTTTTCTGTCCCTATTGCTCAGCCAATTGTTTCCACACAGCTATTATCCCCTTTATTCTATGACCTATGATGTTCCGCACAGATCTGCTGTGTGGCACAGTATCTCCAAAGGGAGCAGTCCAACTTCTTAATCCACCCTCAAAAATGAAGTTCCCCATTCCTGGAACCATTCTTGCATCATGGACAGTATCAAACAAATTCTGAAAACTTATGTGCACCACATTAATAGTACTATTATCAAGACTTTTTGTTGAATGCTTCAAAAATAAACTCCAGCAAATTAATTAAACATGATTTCCCCTTTGGAAATCTGTGCTGACTTTTCCTAATCAACCCACCTTTTTCTACATGACTATTAATTCCACCTCAAATAACTGTTTCTAGACGCTTCTCCACCTCCGAAGTTAAACTATAATTTCTGGGATCATCCTTGGGATATCCGTATCCTTTTTTTTACAAGGATGTTGACAATGCTCCTGAGACATCCCCAGAGACCAGGGAAGGCTGAAATATTAAGGCCAGTGTCTCCTGCAATTTCTACCCTCACCTCGTTCAAAATCCTTGCAAGTATCATATGTCAACTTTAAGTACCAACAATCTGTCCACGATTTAGTCCTAAATCATTTTGATCCTTTCGAGTGATAAGGTCTGTCACCATGACCTGAGCAGAATCCTGCTCTTTTGCGAAGACGGATTCAAAGTATTCATTTAACACATCGGCCATATGTCAATCCCCGCTTTGGTCACTGACCAGTCGGCTCCTCCTTCACCCACACTCTGGCTGTTTAAAGGAAGGTTACGGTGCGGGGGAGAGTGTGAGATTGTGGCCAGGGCTCTTTGTCGCAGATACAGCCGGTAAGGAGTGAAATCGCGGAAAGGGGAGGGGGCGATGGAGGCAACACGACACATTTCTGAATGACCTCCGGAAGGCATGGAAACGGAACACAAACCTGTGGCTGCCGTGTTTGCCGCTCTCAGCCTTTTCACTACGGACAGCTCCAGCTTCGCCATCGCCATCTTGCATCGAGCTCGGAGCCGCTGCGCACGCGTGGTCACTGCTGGTGACGTAAAGCGATGTTCCTCATCAGTTGACAGCGCAGGGAGGAGTAGAAAACTGAATGGAGTGGCGATGCGCTGAACTCTGGAGCAGAATCCTTGGCCTCTCTATATCTTCAGAACAGAGAAAATCGGAGCCGGAGTAGACTATTTGGCCCCTTTGAACCTGCACGGCCATTCAATATAATCGTGGCTGATCCAACTCAGTAACCTGTTCCCACTTTTCACCATACCTTTCGATTCCTTTACATCTAATAACTATCTCTAACTATATGTTTTGAAGAAA